TCCATCCATCCGTTTCGTCCATCCATCCCTCCATCCATGCATCCATCCATTCAGCCATCCACCCACGCTCCCTCCCTCTCATCCATCCACTGACCCTCCCATTCACCCACCCACCCATCCATCCATCCATCTATCCACCCTCTCATCTACTTACCCACCCTCATCCATCCACCCATCTCACAACAATCTTAGCAGGAACTCAGCACAGTTCCAGGATCCTCACAGGTGACATGAGGCGGCCCAGGCGGAGGTTGGCCGTGAGCCACCAGGACCCTCCACGACCAGCAACACTTCAGTCAGGCTGGTTCCCCCACACCCTCATCTTCTCTCACTTTGCACTCAGGGACGGAAGCCCCTGGGATGGCCACCCAGCTCCCGTGAAGGGTGGGAGACCATCCCGGACCAGCACCTGGGTCTTTCCTCACATGCATCCAGGTGCCTGAGGCATGGCTCGGGTGGGTTACACAACCAGCTGGATTAGAGCAACGCTGACTCCTGGACCCCCCGCACTCGCTTTGAAGTAGACTCAGGCATGGGGGCCCCTTGGGGCGAGGGATATTATAAATTACACCAGTGAGGCCGGGCTCAGTGGCTTAGCCTGTCATCCAAGCAATTTGGAAGGCCAAGGGGAGTGGATTGCCTGAGCCCATGGGTTTGAGACAGCCCAGACAACTTGGCAAGACCTCGTCTCTACAATAAATTTAAAAAAAATCAGCCGGGAGTGGTAGTACACGCCTGTAGTTCCAGCTCCTTGGAAGGCTGAGTTGGAAGGACCACTGGAGCCCAGCAGGTCGATGCTGGGGTGGCCATGAGCATGCCACTGCACTCCAGCCTGGGTGACAGAGTGAGACTCGAATTCAAATGAGTAAATGAATGAATAAATAAATAACACCAGTGCAAGGAATAAGCGAGAGCACTGTACCCAGAGCCAGGTGCCCAGCTCCCAGAACCCATAACCAGCATGTGCTAGACAGGTCCTGAAACCTTCATTGCTTGTGTTAGCTGCCCTCCAACCCCCGGGAGCCGGAGCACTGGCCCAGGTGACCCCTGTGGAGACCCCTGCTGTGTACACAGGGATTTCTGTCTTCACTAGAAAGTCCTATTTTCACGACCAGATCCTTGGGGAGGCTAAGCAGAGCAAAGAAAAACACAAAAAGTACAGCAGGTATGATTTTAAGGCAGTGAAAATCAAGCACAGTGGCTCACGCCTGTCATTCCAGCACTTTGGGAGACAGAGGCAAGAGGACTGCCTGAGACCAGGGATTCAAGACCAGCATGGCGACAACATGGTGGGACCTCATCTCTACAATAAGTCAAAAAATTAGCTGGGCACGGTGGCTCAGCCTATAATCCCATACTTTGGGAGGCTGAGGTAAGTGGTCTGCCTGAGCTCGCATGTTTGAGACCTGCCTGGGCAACTTTGTGAGACCTTATCTCTACAATAAATCCAAAAAATTAGCCGGGCGTGGTAGCACATGCCTGTAGTTCCAGCTACTTGGAAGGCTGAGATGGAAGGACCACCTGGGCCCAGCAGGTTGAGATCATGGTGGCTGTGAGTGTGCCCCTGCACTCTAGCCTGGGTGAAACAGTAAGACTCCAACTGAAAAGAAAAAGCAGCGAGAATGAACTCCACAGAAAGAGGCCAGCTTTGTTCTTTGGTAACACATAAGTTACAAGGTGTCACCATCCAAAAACACTTCCCAAGAGCCCAGGTGTCGTAGTTAAAGGAAACATCTTGTTTTTATTTGGGTCCCTGAACGAAATCCTAAGCCCCACTCCCAACAACTATCTACAAGAGAACCTACCAATCATCTGCGGTAGAACGGATGGGTAGATATGTATGGACAGGCGGGTGGACGGACGGTGGGATGAGAGGG